TATTGTAGGATGATAGCTTAGTCAGATCGAAAAGGAAAGATTTTTGTCCTAAGATTTTTGATCTTTTTTTATCTAAAGACACATGTGAAGAAACACAGTTTCCTCCACGTATCAGAGCCACAGCCGCGACAAAAGTCTTTATAAGAAAGATCTAGTCTCACAGGTCACTGCATAATAAGTAATTCTGCAGTGACCTGTCAGCACCGATACCGTAGTGCTGAGCATATTCCGCTTTAATTGAAGTAGTTGACTGGTACGTTTTTTGTCCAACGCATCTAGCTAGATTATTGAGGGAAGCATGGTAGTTTTGAGTTATGATTGATGTGGCTGTGGTGCTTACCAGTGATTTAATGGCAGCTTGGCTATCCGAGAAGATTGAAATAGTTACATCGGAGGTTTGATATAAAGATTCTCTAAATAACGAACGTTGAAATAATAACATACTTTAAAAAAAATTTTTTTTTTTAAAGAACGAAAATTGCATATAAATTGCAATCGAAATAATGAAAAACCTTCCCACTACACTTCGACACATACATTGATTTTTATATATGTTAGATACTCCTGATTTTAACATCAAATTAATTAATTAAATTAATTAAATAAATAACATGTTCGATCAAACGAGATATACGCCGAGATATACGAACCGGAATTTTGTTTTTCCGGTTTGTTTCCGGTTTTTAAAGTGATCATTAGTGTCCGCGTTTCCTGAATAATCTGCGAAAAAAACTTCAAGCCCGGCTCGTTATTGTGTTTCATAGACTGCTATGAAACTACTAAAATAGCCTGACCAAAACTCCAAAAAAATAGTTTCAATAAGAAAAACCATCACGCAGATATCCATTTTTTAGAACTATACTTTAAAAAAATATTTACATAAGGAGATACTGGCATCGACATATGTATACTCTAAGGCAGCCAAGCAGCTCTAACACCTCTATTAGCATTCACAGTAAATCAAAATTACTTTGCGAAAGGTTTGAACTTCTCCAAACTTTATATAAAAAGAACTCTGTGAGTAATCATTGGGCGACATGAAGTTAGTTAAAGCGCATACCCAGAATCTTTCTGCGGAGATAAACAATAGCTACAAAATAAATTTAACTTATGAATATTCAGTATATATTGCAGAACAACAACATGTTTTTCCGATTATCCTACAAAAATTGGATGTGTGTTCCCCAAAAAGTTTTTTTCCTTAATTTCATTGGACTGTTTAAGGAACTTAGCCATTAGTTACTTTTTGATAAAATATATTGACAGACAGATAAATACATTAATATTTTTTAATCGATTTTTATAGTTTGGGGGGTTTTCAAGGTATTTAACAATTACAAACATTTTTACAGACTTTATTCTATGTATGATAGTATTCTTATAGTAATAATGAAACAATACATTACGCAATAGGCAATGAACCAGTTTAACAAACGAATCGATAAATCAATAAATTTGCTTTCAATTATAACGCAATATTGTATAAGCAAAGTTCCAAGTTCCAAGTTCGTCAGTACCTCTAAGAAATTCATATCGGCATTGACTCAAATGAAATAATGCTCGTCTGGACACCCTATTACTAGGGATTCGATAATAATGAATCATAACAATTTTGTGAAGGAACATATAACACCTCTCTAAAGAATCAAACATTTTTGATGGATACCCATTTCTCAAACTATATCAGCACTTAGAAACATAGAAAATAATTGATTTGAAAAGGCTTATGCTAATTTCAAAAGTTTAAACCAATTTAAAAAGTTTATTCGAGTAAATAACAATTTTTGTAGACATGTTTCTCAATCTTAATATATCTGAACTCAAATTAATCACTGAGTTGTTAATAGGTCATTCTTCTGCTTACAATCACTTGTTATGTATGCAACTGTGAAATACAGTGTGGTCGTTCTATGCACCGGTCAGAAAGCTAGTACAGTGCCTTCATACGATATTCAGTCAGGCGAATAAAACTTATGCTATTACAAAACGTAATAACCTTTCCAGGTTCAGTATTCTGAGCTTCATTCAGTTCACTGAAAAACGAATGGAGATACTTGACTCGTTTTTTGGCAGTGCTCGTACCATGCGATTTAGTATTTTAAACTTCCTAAGCTTCATTCAGACTTTATAAAAACGCATCTAGAACCTCTACTAGAGGTACTATTTATATTTTGAGTCTTGGCAACATTGATTGCTGTCAGGTGTCAATTGACATTTCCATACGAAAGTTTAACATTATTAAACATACCCGTTATTTGTGTTATTTACAGTGATTTGTTGAGTGTTTGCGAAAAAATGGAATTAATGCAAGAATATTTTCGTGCGTTGATTTATTACGATTTTCGACGTAGATTATCAAGACAAAATTGCATCGATTAACTTACTTCCACATATACCTTTTGACGATGAAGCTCTATTCTCTGTCACTGTGAAACGCTGATACAATGAGTAAATCAGTTGTTGTGCAATAAAACATTGATGCTGAGATTAAGGAAAGCCTAGACATTAGTTCCACCACGATCGTTTAATCGTAAGAAAGATTTGTTCTGTTTGAATCCCCCACCATTTGACAAAATCTCAAAAGCATGCTTGATGTTCGCGCTCGAAATACTTTGAAGCAAAGGTTTATTATGCTTTTTTTTTCGGGAAAACTGGCAACTACTTGTATACTAATACAAAAACGTAAAAGGTTCAATGCCGAATGGTATACAACCATTTGTTTACCGGAAGTCTTCAAACAAGGATCGTCGGATCATTCTCCATCTTCAAAATGATAATGCGATTGCTCACACATCTCGTCTAGCAATCGACTATTTGAACATTCAAAAAATCAAATTGGTGTGTCATCCGCCTACTGATTTCAGTCCTCGTTTGCACCCAATGACTTCTTCTTTTTCCTGAACGTCAAAAATAAATTGCGTGGACAATGATTCGATTTTTGTCGGCGGAAGAAGCTGTTGTTGCATTTAAAAACCATGTTTTGAAGGTGGCTGAAGAAGAAAAGAAGGCTTTGACAAATGGTTCGACAACTTGGAAAAACAAAAAACCAATTTTCAACGACCAGTTAGTATTTTTTCATTAATAGGCTTAAAATATAAATAGTGACCATCGTATACGACTTTTAGTTAATCGATTGAAGCTTAGGCTATTACAAAACATAGTAATATCTTTTGGTTCAACATTCTACGCTTTATTCGATTGATTAAAAGTCATATGGAGGAACAGTTTCGCGTTTCTTACGATAGTAATATATCTTGGGTCAACGTCATAAGCTTCATTTGGTTTAGTTTAGAATTAGATTTTAAAACGGGTTGGGAACTTGTCACCACGTCACTGCATTCTTCGAGGTTATTGTAATATGCCCACTTTAGTTTCATAGATGAGTAGCTTTTAAGAACGCCATTATGTCCTTTGGAGAGATGTTGGCTAATTCCGTTATAAGTGGATAGGCAGTAGATAAGTACCGAAGTCTGAGTCTGGCGAGACTATCACAGTGACACAAAGTGTGTTTTGCTGTTTCCTCTTCATCGCAACAAACTCTGCAGCTATTGTCTCTAATAATACCGAGGTTCGATAGATGCTTTTTAACTCTGAGAAATCCTGTAACAAGTCGGATGCTACTTCTGTTTAGCATAAGTAGCTCCCTAGTTCTAGCTTTTGATTGATACGGTATGGATTCTTTAGCTTGTCTGCATGCAATTGTATTACCACAATCATTCTGACATGCTCCTTCCAGCCACTCGTTAATTTTAAGTTCGAAAAAGCTCCATGAAAGACCACAAAATGGTTGTTTCATTTACTTTACTGAAAGTCCTATGGAATTACTAGACTCGTTTTCTGATAGACTCGTTTTCTGATAGTTTTTCGTTTCACACGGTAATAGCACAAACTCTCTTGAGGGACCACATAATAGATTGCGTAAGTCGAAGTGTGCCATTATAAATTAATAAGTAATGTTTGTCTTTTATGATATATGTCAGTGCTATTCCAGTGCTACAATTATTGTTTTAAAACAAAATATGGGTGTAATGACAATTCATAACTTTAAATAGAGTTATAAATAACATTTCATGTAATTAGCTTGAAGATATAATACAGAAATACGATGTTTACTAGTAATAAATAAAGCTCAAGACTACGGCAATGCGTTGACCCATTTACCCATAAATGATACGCCCAAAGCAGTTTGAACGTTTAAGGGTTTCTTCTTCCAAGCGCACAGTTACAAAATAAATATTTGTCATATTGGGAATGTAAATAAAAAAGATATTTAACTAATTTTATGATTTCATCAATACTGAAAGGTTTAAAATAAATTGAGGTTTTATTATTTACGCAAACAAAAACAAAATCGTATATCAAAATTGCACAGCCTGACCAACACCCAGAATTCGTAGCTTGTTCCAAGCGACTACGCTTAACTAAAACAACATGTCAGCAACTTTTTTAATGAGCAATTTCGCAAAGGGTAGAAGCAGCGCGGTAAGGGTGCAGAAATCAATAAAGACATTTAACATGGAAGAAGCATGTATATATGTGACAGTGTATGTGTTGGTGCTTTGCACTACGTTTGTCCAATTACAAGCTTGTTTATTTCCTGCAATTTTTTACAATGGCGCTTAACTGCCGTAGAACAATAGAGGAGAAATGCACAAAAAGAAGACAATAAAGTGAAAATTGAAGGAAATTAAAGTAAATAGTTTTGTTTTATAAAAAAAATCTCTGCTAATATACAAATTACAAGATTTCATATTACAATATATACGTGTACAGTGTCAAATTCAAGAGATGATGGTATCAGCAATGCTTTTAGAAAAGGATAATGTATTTGCACAAGAGCTCGTATGTTCAATGCTCAATGACACTCGATATGAAAACACTTCAAGTACGAAAAAATTTACATATTGTTAAATAAAATAAATAAATGACATACGAGAGCGAAAGAGGGGACAAGTAGCTCAAACTATCAACATTATAGCGTCAACAACAATAGCACTTACCCTTGCACTGAGTTAGAAGTTGACAACACGCCATTGTCTAATGAGTCACGAGATAATTCATCTGCCATTTGTACTTTAAGCTGATGACCAAATGAATTGATTTCGGAATTTGGTGTCATCTGTGACCCCACCGGCGATTGAGCTAAATATTGACCTGGTGTAGCTATTGAACCAACTTGCGACACCGATGTTGTCATGCCAGGTCCACCATTTGGTAATATCACATCCCCGCAACTATCACCAGTTGTTAAGTCCATATTTATAACTTGACTGCCTGCTGCATTTTCCGCTAAGGCAGCATTATCACTATCATCAACTCCTTCTTCATCGATGTCCATATCCTCGGCATTTTTATCGAGTGGCGCTGTTTCTTCATCCTCATTGTATATTTTAAAGTACGCATATGTCAAATAAATCACCGATATTATAAATGATGGTATAGGTATGGCCATTGAATAAACCAAATTGAGCGTATTTTGCCAATAATCTAAGTCGCTTATTACTAAACTTGGATCGACTTTCGAATAGTAACAAGGAAATTTAATGCCAATTTTTGTATAACGCTTAAGCCAAATAGTACAATTGAGCATTGGTGGATAGCCGCAACCTTTAACATTAGGAAATAAGCGTGCACCCACATAAAAATAAGTTGAATTACTCCCCATCAGTCCCTCATTCAATTCCATAATTTCATCAAATGGACGACGTTCACTATTTATTAATGTACCAACACCACTTAAATCCTCATCTTGTTCTTCTTCAATTAAGTATGTATTTGTGCCATCGAAATGGAGTTGCTCCATATGCACATTACTACTACTGCCACTCTGCATATCTAGTGTGTCGAACGCTGTGGCGGGATTAGTGCTTTGACTATCGACGGCGTCGTAATCATAATCACGTATGGCACGCTCATAGCGATCAGTGCGCTTAACTGGCGGTATTTCACGTTCTGACTCTTTGAGGTTTATGTGATACTCGGTGACATTAAATTCATCCGTGTAATTATACATATTTAAACGATAATTAACGCGTATTTGTGTGCATGTGTATATATCTTTGGTACAACCCTCGCGACACGATGCCCACGAACAATTTTTTGCCCCATAATATGTTTCTGTTTCATAGGTCTCACATAATGCTGGCACCTCTTCAAACTGCATGAATATTGTTGTGAATGCAGGCTCAATCACAAATGGCACCAAAAATAGAAACGCGAACATACTAAATGTGCCAAGTAAAATGAAAAACGCTGTGGTATAGAAGAGCAACTTCTCCTTGAATGTACGAGCTTCGTGTTCATCACCCATTTTGTGGTAGTGGACGTGGACGTGGTTGCGGTATTTTGTTGTATTCTTTGTATTTGTTGTTCTTGTTGTTGTAGTTGTTCCGCTCGCTGTTAATGTTGATGTTGACTAAGCTGATATCGATAGTTGAGGTAATTTAGATTGGCATGTGTGCAGGATACTGTTACGATTTTACAGGATTTGATTAATGTATATGCAATGTGCTAGTTTTCGTCGTTGTGTTTGTTATTTTATTATTTTTCTATTAAATATTTTTTGTAATTAATTTAATTTTTTATTTATGTTTCTAGTGAATACGTGAATTCGAGTTTGAAGTGAACCGATGATACGGAGAAACGAAATTTGATTTATATTTTAGAGTTTCGAGTATAACTTTAATGCTTAAGTTTAATATAAATACGAGACTTAAATGATATTTTATTTATATTGTATATATCTAAATAGCTTAGAATATTATTCTTTTTCAAAAAGTAAATTTTTTATTATTTATAATTAATTATATGTAAATTTTTAAGTAGAATATTAAATATTATTACTTTATTTTTTACAGTGCAATTTATATCACAGGGGAGTTCGTTATCGCATCGTCTTCTCCGTGGTGTTGACTCTCAAAGAAAATAAGCTTTAATTGTATTTTTGTTATTGTTTATTTGTAATTGTTATATGTTTGTAATGTATAATGTTGTTGTTGGTTTTATTGCTATTTAGCGGTAGTTGTTGTTATTATTGTTGTTGTTGTTGTTATATCGTCTTTTATTAATGATTTTCGTATTGCTCGTGACTGAATGACATAAAAATATTTATTTTTCTGCTTTTTCTTACTTATATTATTTTCATAACTATTATATTTGTGTTGTTGTTGCTGCTCTTTACTCTTTGCATTAGTTTATTTTATTTGCTGACTTAAGTTTGTTCGATAGTTACTAAGTTTTATTTAACATACAACAACAACAGCAGGCATTTTTTTTATATGCTTTTTTATTATTTTTGAAAATATTTTTTTTATATATGTTCTTTAAATGTATTTATATATTTTTGTATATATTATTTAAAATTTATGTAGTTGCAACAAATTAAACAATTTCGTCCTACAGTTATATTTTTATTTTTCAATTATTATTGGCTCAATTATTAATGTTGGTCATTATGCTAAGTTGCTTGGAACCTTCTATGCTGACGGTTATTGCATTGGCAGTGAACTCAGTACAATTTCTCTGCTTGTCCTTTGCTAAACGCTTTATTTGAAAGCTACTTTTTAATAATTCAGTTAAAATCTATTTGTGCCTGAACGCTTCCTGTATACGTATTAATACGTGCGTATATATATAAGTATGTATGTGTGTATACTAATTAAATAGCCTTTCCCCACGGAGTTATTTGTTACGGTAGCAAACGCTTACTACCACTTTATTTATATGAAACCCGTACTCTCAGCTTTATGTCGTTGATGTATTTTTGTGATGTTTATGACTTTAATGCAGTCCTTTTGTGTGCATACACGTTCATTCGTTAGTTTGCTTGATTTTTCGCTTGCTTGTTCGCTTGCCTGTCGTGCTCTTGTCACTTCTTCGTTATTATAATTTGTGTAATTATTTTATGATTGCTTTTAAAAATTTTAAAATAATCAAAATGTTTTTCATGTACACGTAGTATACACGTAGTATGTATATACGTAGTATATAGTTGATTTATAAGTTGTGCGTCCCCGGTGCCCACTTCTGTAATTGCGGTTATAGGCACGTTGTGTGAGAAACGCTACACACTGTCAGCGCACGACTGTTGCTATGTCCTTATTAAGAATTCATTAGTTGGCTAAGAGCGCACGTAACCTAATTGCCAATAGTAGTCAGTCGTGAAAGTATTAACAAAGGCTTTCGTGTCTTCGTATAAGAATAGTTAGAGTTTGGAGTTATTTTAATGTTGATGAGCTCAAAGATCTTGTTATTGACGTTATTTCGTAAGACGTAAGACGTAAGAGTTGCTTTGAAGGGCGTAACAGTTAAATATGCTTCTGTTAATTTTTGATTTTAAAATAAGTTTCACAGCAAATCAAATATTCATAAAGCGTTACGTACGTTGGTAGAAAAAGTGCTCAAAGTAATCTATTTATATATTACTTATTTATTTTTATTATAGGTAATTTTAAATTTGTTTAAATATATATATAATTTGTTTTATATATAATTTCTATTTTTAGTTTATGTTTGTATCTAAATTTAGTTATTGATGAAGGCTGCAAATTGCTTTTGAAAATGCGTGCTAAAACGTTTAAATTCTGTTATTTTTATTAAAATATTTTTTTTTTATATTTTGTCTTTAAAGGATTTCAATAAAAAGAGCAAAAATTCTTCAAATAAATTAATTGTAAAATTTTAATTTATAATTTTTTTATTCGCCTAGGCGTTGCAATAATCTTGGACGGACGTTATTAAAGAGCGTGAAGTTGCAGTTTTATGTTGCGAATGCGGTGTGCTAAATGTCATTCAAACGGTTTGCTGCATTCAAAATCAGAAAAAAAACAATACGAATAAAAATTTTGCCAAAAATTTTGTTTTTCCTTTATTGTTTATTATATCCTTTAACTTTGTTGTTATTCGCTTTGTTGAAGTTGTTGT